CAAAGAACCAACTCACTTGAAAAGACCCTGATGCTGGGAAAGACTGAAGGCGGGAGGAGAAGGGGAGGACAGAGGATGAGATGGTTAGATGGCATCACCGACTCAATGTACATGAGTTTGGGTAAACTCTGGGAGTTGTGATGGACAGGGAGGCTTAGCGTGCTGCAGTCCATGGGGTCACAAAGAGTTGGACATGACTGAGCAACTGAACTGAACTGATACTTTTTGAACCAATAACCCCACTGCTACAAACCTATCCCAAGATAATATATCATAGGCAGGCACAATGTAGCAAAGGAAAATTGGAAACAATACAAATGTTCATTAACTGAAGAATGTTAAATAAACTATTCATACAACAGAATATTTTTCAGTCAGACAATTGTATTCATCAAGGACATTTCATAAGATGAGAAACTCGTCATGTAACATGAAGAAAATACCCAGGTTATAAAGCAAAATAGTATTCCACTATACGACTTCCCAGGTGGCTCAGTGGTAAAGATTCTGTCTGCCAAGCAGGAGGCACAGGTTTGATCCCTGGGTCAGAAAGATCCCCTGGAGAAGGAAACAGCAACCCACCCCAGTATTCTTGCCTGGGAAATCCCATGGACAGAGAAGCCTGGCGGACTACAGCCCATGGGGTCGCAAAGAGTCAGGCATGACTTATCGACTAAACAACAACAAAAATTCCACTATACGAAATAAATACAAATGGAGATGGGGAGAGCTAAAAGAAAAACACAGCGATATTTTATCTTTGATGATCTCTGTGGTTTAGGGTTATATATATTTCTTACATTTCCTTCTACATCTTCTTATTTTTCATTTTTATGATGAAATACATATCATTTTTACAATGAGAAAAAAGTCATGTTTAAATTCAACAAGAGCAGACATGTAGTTCTTATTGCCACATCGGACTGAGGAAATGTTGGCACTAAGAAAGGTCGAAGAAGAGTAATGAGAATGGTCAGAGGAATGGGTGACAAATGAACATCATCAGGTCTGGGAATTATTCAAAAATTTCTGAAATACACAGGCATGGAATGCACAGTGAGCACAGTCCTGGGTGGGGAACATAATGAATAGGATTCCCAGCCAGAAAGAGGACAGGATCCAGGCCAGCTCTGGTGTCTCTCATATCCTGCATAACCAAGACCCTTGGACCGTCTCTCCCCACCTCCACTCTCTCATCCCCCATTTACTCTTTAACTCACCATAACCAGGTTTCTTGCCCTAAGCCCCCTACGATTCCACAATGATTGCTCTCACCATCACCATCACCATTCTCCTTGTTGTCAAATCCAATAGTCACATTCAATCTGTCCTTACAGGAGCGACTTCTCATTGACAGGAGTTCTTTATTCTAAACATTACTCCTCTTTTCCTATTCTCTAGGTTTGTGTGTATTGTATAGCCTGTTTCTTAGAGTTTTTGTAAAACTTCTGATAAAGTTATCTGAAGCTGAAATGTTCTTTGTAGAATGGTCTTTTATTTCTTCTTGAGTCATCATTTGGAGATCATGCTTTTCTAGAAATTCATCTATATTTGCAAATGCATAAGCTTAACGTTTTCTGAAGTACAAATTTATGGCTAAAACGTCTCTGTGTATATCTTTAGTTGCACCCCATCAGTTTTTATACAGAGTATTTTTATTTAGGTATGATTCTAAATATTTTCTAATTTCTATTATGATCTCTTCTTTGACCCATGGGTTATTTAGAAACTTCTTTCTTAATTTTAATATATATTGATTTTTTTTAATTTATCTATTTTTAGTGACTTTTAACATAATTGCATTTATGGCCAGAAAATATATTGTTTATGATTTTATCATTTTTAAATTGTTTAAACTTCCCTCAAGGCACAGGATATACCAATTTTTATAAATAACCCATCTGTTACTAAAAAGAAATGTATTCTTCACTTTTTCATGTCTGTATGTGACCATTAGATCAAATCTGTTAATATGTTGCACTAAACTTTCTCTTTCCTTCCATGTTAATTTTGTTGTTAACTAGTTCTGTTACTTATTAAGAGAGATGTGTTACATCTCGCACTATTATTGTAAAGTTATTTTTATTCACAGTTCTGTTGATTTTGCTTTATCCATTTGAAACTATATTATATGGAGCACCGAACTTAATATTGTGGCATCATTCAAAGGGACTGAAGACGTTATTTTTATCTTTAGTAATGCTTTTTGCCTTAAAAGTCTTAATAAATTAATATAGCTGGTTCTTTGGTGAGAACTCATCCAATTTATCTTTTTTACATCCTTTTAATTCCAATCTTTCTTTATCATCTCCACTGTTTTTCAGATGATTCCATAAGACTACTACCACTGTAACATTCTGACTGCAATTTTAACTTCCAAAACGGATTATTTACTTCTCAAAAGAAAGAAGAAACGGAACCGGCATTTCTGGAATGATGGTTTGTGGCTTTGGGTATCACTGGCTTGCCATGGTAAGCACTCTTCTTTCTCTGACAACCAGTTCTTGTTTTTAGCTGAGCTCAGAGGCTCTTTTGGAAAAACATACATGTGTGGGTGGATGCTGGGGCAGGAAGAGGGAAGATGTGGTCAAGACAGGTAGAGGTGGGTAAGCAGTGCTAAACATGGAGTGGGCGTCACATATCCAAATGCATACAAGGGCCAAACAGCTATTTTAGGCAATTACACAGGGCAGAAGAGAACTACCTGGACTAGGGATCACTTGTCCTTCCTAAGGCAGCTATTATCCTCCATCAATCCTTACCCAGTTTGGATAGTGCAGGGTTTTTTTAGGGGAAACCTGAAACTAAACTTGAGTGGGAGATCTACTGAATTTGAAAATTTGCAGCTAATCCATTATTTTAATATATGCAAGTTAAATAAGTCATGTCTGTTATCTACATCTGCAAATCCTTGTAAAACCTAAAAGAAGGGAGCAAGTGGAGAAGGCCTTTCCCAGCCCTGGTCATCCTCTCAAGTGGACTAACTCATTCCTCTTTACACAGAGAAATCCCTCCTGGGAAATGCAAACCTAATTCATGTTCTAGATCTTCAGAAATGGCTTTTCAAAATGCTTGGTTTGGTGTACTGCCACAAGCAGCATGATACGCTGGTCATCCCTAAAGACGGAATTGGAAAATGGTAGGGAGTCAAAGTAAGGCTCACACATGAAGGGATTCCAAGAAGTTGCTACCAAAGCAAAATTCAAAACTTTGCCCAGGGCCTCTGATAGCAGCTCTATGTCCAATCTGAGAAAAGGAAGTGAAGAAAAGGCAAGTTGTCCCCTCAAAAATAAAAAACCTATAGATACACACACACACACACACACACACACACACACACACATATATACATATGTAAAAGAAGGGAAGAAAAGGTAAGATGTCCCCTCAAAAATAAAAGCTATACAGACACATATATATGTATATGCAGGCCTATGCACACGCAAAGCCCTTAATTCATCTGCTCATTTGTTATTTCAAAATAAAAAAATATTTGTGAAATATCTTCAGGGAACTTTATAATCTACACTACCACCTAAAGGAGGTGCTTCATGGCTAGCTGAAGAAGGTGCTCTTTACAAAACAATAATAATGACAAAAACAAAAGAAAGAAAAAAGACTGAGTCCCTACTACTTACAGATCACTTCTAGATGCTTATATACATGTAATTTTAAGAAGTACTTGAAAGAAAACTGCACAATACTTCCATTTTACACTGAGAAAACTGAAGCACAAAGGAGATAGTTTAATAAGTGTTAATGTTACTTTGGGATTCTCTGGTGGCCCAGACAGTAAAGAATCTGACTGCAATGCTGAGACCCAGNTACTTCCATTTTACACTGAGAAAACTGAAGCACAAAGGAGATAGTTTAATAAGTGTTAATGTTACTTTGGGATTCTCTGGTGGCCCAGACAGTAAAGAATCTGACTGCAATGCTGAGACCCAGGTTCGATCCCCTGGGTTGGGAAGATCCCCTGGAAAAGGGAATGGCAACCCACTCCAGGATTCTTGCCTGGAGAATTCCATGGACAGAGGAGCCTGGAGAGCTACAGTACATGGGGTCGTAGAATCGGACACGACTGAGCAACTCACACACAATGTTAGTTCAGTTCAGTCGCTCAGTCGTGTCTGACTCCTTGCAACCCCATGGACGCCAACACGCCAGGCTTTCCTGTCCATCACCGACTCCCGGAGTTTGCGCAGACTTGAGCAGCAGGACTCAGTGTGGGGTGAAAGCAGGACCAGTGGACGGCTGCAAGGAAACACTTAATAGGCCTGACTTTTAAAACCCTTTGCTTTCTCACCTTCGCCACAACTGAACTCCTCTTCCCTTCCCTCCACACAAATGTCTACAAACATAAAAGACAAACTTTACTCCAAATTTTTTAAAAAACTACTTTTCTACTTTTTTTGATCTCCTTACACAACTCAATCAACTAATCCCTTAGCAAATTTCAACTTTACATGATATTATTTCACTATCCACCTTCTTATATTTTTAGTATGTTAAGATAGGTAAGTCAATTTGTATTGTCTCAGATAAAGAAAACACACTCACTATAGATTAGAACATTTTTAACAGCAAAAACATTCTATTTGCTTTCATCATAGTTTCACTTAACAAAAGTGTTAGCTGCGCCAAAAAAAACTCAGTGTTGTCTTTCAGATAAAAAATAAATAACGAACAAGAGAAAGTAGATAATTAAATTAATTCTCATTCTCTTCAATATGTACAATGACAATTTCTTAGGGAATTGTGATAAAAGAGATTTCACTGGAAAAGAAAATTCATAATTCATCTGCCATCTCTCTGGTCAATTCTAAGATTGACCCTTCAGAGCAAAGCCTGTCATTATTCTTTAGCATTTTCCTTATCAAAGGTTTATTTTGCAAAGAAAAATCACACATGCATAACCCACCTCCCAACCGAGTAAAATTTAACTTATTTTTGTTCTTTTGTAGATTCATTCTGAAGTGAACAGCTTCTCCCTTCTCAATCTGATCTTTGGCCCACCTTGCTCACAGCTGCTTTGGATCTGAAAATTCACGAGGGCTTTGATGAAATATTTAATAGCAAAGACAATGTCTTATTTACTTCAATCAGTTTCTACTGAGGTGCCCTGGAAGGAAAGGAGAGGATGTGAAAATGGTAACCTCCTAGGTATTTGCCCACAAACAAAATTAATCTTTAAGTATAGATTTCCCTTACCATTGACTCAAATCCGTCTTTGAAGAGTTCACCCATTTCCAACACGAAGGTATTTGGGAAAATAGAATTATTTACATTTAATGGAAAATTTACTTAACAATTTTGTCATAAAACTATGTCTTCCAAAAATGCTTGCTTATTGATATCTTTTGGCAAAGACATAGGCACATATAGCATGATGGAATTCTTTGCAAAGAAGACCATTTCAGTTTTTCCAACCCGATTATAAAGTTTTGACTGTTCCCTTTAAATAGTTGTTGTTGCATGAGGGGACTGATAATTATAAAAAGAATTCTATTTCTCTGGTTGTTTAAGAAAAGAATTCAAGAAGTACTTTAATGAAGAACATTTTTAAAATATCCAGCAGTTTCTTTCATCCATATTTCCAGGAACTTTGGCTAAAACAAAAAATCCATTACATTTCACTGGGCATCACAACTTATGTATAAATAAGCTCCCCTAAGGGCCCACATTATCCTCAGTGACACCTATATTATAGTTTCCCATAATTCATGAGCAGGCCCAGTGCATCATGGTCAGATCACTGCAGAGGAAGCAAAGTCTGATGGCATTCTGCTATTGACTAAACAGGACAAGAACATCCTGGTTCTATTCTTTCCATTTAAGTCCAGAATCATAACAATCTTATACCAATATCCATTCCAAAGAGTATAATTCCAGTTCTAAGATAGAACATTATTTTTACACTGATAAAATACAGTGGGTCTATCTCATGGAAACTGGAAAGAAAAATAAAATGCTGAAGTGATACAGCACATTGAAAAGCAGAAACATTACTTTGCCAACAAAGGTCCGTCTGGTCAAGGCTATGGTTTTTCCAGTAGTCATGTATGGATGTGAGAATTGGACTATAAAGAAAGCTGAGCACCGAAGAATTGATGTTTTGAACTGTGGTGTTAGAGAAGACTCTTGAGAGTTCCTTGGACTGCAAGGAGATCAAACCAGTCATAAGAAATCAGTCCTGAATATGCATTGGAAGGACTGATGCTGAAGCTGAAACTCCAATACTTTGGCTACCTGATGTGAAGAAATGACTCATTTGAAAAGACCCTGATGCGGGGAAAGATTGAGGGTGGGAGGAGAAGGGGAGGACAGAGGATAAAATGGTTGGATGGTATCACCAGCTCGATGGACATAAGTTTGAGTAAACTCCAGGAGTTGGTTATGGACAGGGAGGCCTGGCGTGCTGCAGTCCATGGGGTCACAAAGTCAGACATGACTGATCGACTGAACTGAATTGAACTGACGAACATTCACTATACAGCAGAGAATATTCTCTCTCCTTCCTGGAATAATGAGGCTTCTGGGTTACTTGTTCACAACTGTTCTACCCTTATCTGAGGATTTCTTTAGCAGATCAACCAATCCTGCTAGTCATCTACCATAGTGGTCTCTACTTGCCCAAACAGAAAGGATGCAATAGAATGAATGGATCCTAAATAAGATACCAAATGAAAACATATCAAGAAAATTAGCATTTCCAGAAAAAACACTGACACATCAGAATAAATAAACTACCTGTCCAAGAACCGCGGGATAGACTCCTATTGACTGTATTAATTTCCTGTGCAACAAATTACCACAAATTTGATGGTTTAAAACAACAGAAATTTGTTCCTTCGTGGTTCAGAGGCCAAGTGTCCAAAATCCAGTCCAGCCTTCCAGTTGAAAACTTTCAAAGACACTGAGTGCATTCACATGTGCAGTCACGTACGTTCAAGTGTCTGGCGCACCTTGTCACATGTACGCCTCCTCTAACAGTGAATGTGCTTTTACTGTGCAGAGCTGTAGACAGTGCAGTAGGGCAGTGTCTTATTTCAAGTCCAGGATATCTGCAAGCAAGCATAAAAGCAGCAGTGACGTCGCTGGGACTGCTAAGAAGTGCCAAGCGATAACAATGGAAACAAAGGTGAAAATAATCCAAAGAGTGAGGCAAAGATGGAATTGGAGGCCCAGAGCAAGGACAAAGAGAAACAAAAGGAAGAAGACATAACTGAAGAAACAGAGAGATTCACGACTCAGGAAATGGCAAGGGGATTTTCTTTATTTAAGGAGGCACTGTTGGGTTTTCGGCATAGGACCCAAACATAGAACGGTACACGAAGGTTGCAGCAGCCATTCAGAATGCAATCCAGTGCTACTGTGTCATCTATGATGAGGAAAAAAAGAGCTACTACCCAGACATCACTGGATCATTCTTTTCAAGAGGGTAGATAGAATTGAATCCAGCAAGGAGCAGAACCTGTGCCATCAGCATCAGGCATGAGTGAAATCGCAGCTTGCCCTCCGCCTCCTATTGCTGATGCTCCTTCAGCTCTGCCATCTCCCACCTCCCCTCCCTCCTGCAGACAGTAACTCTTCTTGCCTGTCCACTCGATGCCAGCCCCTGTGTGCCAGCTATTGTACTGTACTATTATACTTTACAAGGTACTTAACAGTAAGATTAAAAATGTTTCCTCTATTTTGGGGGTTTGTTTTCTATGTATCATTTGTGTGAAAAGTAGTATAAACCTACTGCAGTACAGTACTATATAGCTGATTGTGTTAGCTGTGGACCTAGGCTAATTTTGTTGGACTTACAAACACATTCTCAGAATGGAACTTGTTCCTATGTAGAGGACCTAGTATACTCCTTGGTTTGTGGTCCCATCACTCCAGCTTCTGCCTCCATGGTCTCACAAGCTCATCCTCATCTCTGTGTTCCAATCTCCCTCTGCCTTTCTAATAAGAACACTTGTGTTGGCACTTAAGAACTGCCATATCGCTAGTGGTAAAGAACCCATCTGCCAATGCAGGAGATGTAAGAGACATGGGTTCGATCCCTGCAACAGGAAGATGCCCTGGAGGAGGGCATGCAACCCACTCTAGGATTCGTGCCTGGAGAATCCCACAGACAGAGAAGCCTGGCAGACTATACAGTCCATGGAGTTGAAAAGAGTCAGACACTACTGAAGTGACTTACACACGTAACATATAATCAAATATCCTGATCTCAAAATCCTTAACTCTATCAACATCTGTAAAGACAACTGTTTTCACAATTAAAGGTTCCAATAATTAGGAAGGAGATCTTTTTGGGGGGGAGAGTGGTGGTATTTTCAGCCTATCACACTGATCACACTGCTCAGGATCATAGTTTAAGAATTTAAACATAGATAAAGAAAATGGTGGGGGGCAGGGAACCTGCATTATCCATAAGCCTCACACCATCCATGTCCTTCTCATGTCATGACTATATGATGTTTGGAGTCATGTTCAGGGTCTTAGTCATAATGATGTTTGTGGATCAGTGGATTCTCTGCCTGTATAAAATTCTCTGCTAATAATAAAACATAATTGTAATGGAGGCAGGCAATATTCTTACCTGATACTAAACTAGGACCAAACTTGTTCTCTGATAAGGATTTGAGGTTTTGATCAAAGTGTTTTAGCTTAAAAATTACCTAGAGGCCAACAGTTTTTTGTCTTTTTTAACGTTCACAGGATATTGTCACTGACACTGATAGTTACAAATAAGAAAGCAGAGTTTACTTTAAAAAATGTCAGGTGAGGCTCTGGGAAAACATCAGGCCAGCTTCTAGGTCATGGTGCTTAGCTTTCAGCTGCTAATGTATGTAAATGACTCCATCCAGGGACCCAGCTGTTGTATGTTGAAATGTGCTGATGAAACTAAATTGGGATTCTAGAGAACACAAATCAAATTGTAAGCAAAATGACTGAAATACACCAGCTCTCCTTTGCAGCATCATAGGCCAACCCAAGAAAAATGACTAATGGGTAATAACACTCAGTCCTGACAGGAATCATAAGCTAGGAAGGAAGTTGCATGTAAAATAATAATAAAGAATATTAAATTGCCACCAGGCCCCCGCTAGAGACAAATGAAAACGGAACAGATTTCTTACCACCAGTCACTTTTTCAATTCCTTTGAAAATGTCCCTGGAATCTGCAGACAGAGAACATGTTCACTCATATTCCCTTTCTACTAGAAAGGAACGTTTTCTCTGACCTGGAAAAGACAGATAAAGGATGACCTTCTGAAAAGGAGGCTCTTAGAGGTACCCTCTGACCAGTTCATTAGCCTTCCTTGGGCAAAAAGGTAAGAAAACAGGCCATCTTTACCAGCTACTGGTAGAGAAAATGATGCACTTTTGCCAAGATAGCCATAGTTGGATGGCTTTTCATTTCGTCTCTTATAATGTCATTCTTATTGTAGAATATGAAGTAATTTTTAATTGTCCATGTAACTTACATAATATTATTTTTACTCTAAGTGATGTTTTTTCATCACAAGGTAATTTGGCTACTCTCTACCGGTTTAAACCCAAAGCTGTGTCATTGGTCGCTAGAAAGAAGTGAGCTCCTGCTGCCTGCTCACTCCTTATCATCAAATTGTAAGCAAAACCCAGCCTGAAGCTCCTGTCATCTCAGACACAGCCTACACACACCTCTCTGCAAAGGACGGGTAGCAAAACACTGCAACAGAGGGCAAGCAGCCTCTAATCTTGGACGGCAGCTTATTTCAGAGCATTGTTCTAGTTGCCCCGTTTGTTCCTCCTTGACTTTACTGACCAGTTCTCAGCACCAGTCGCTCATTGGAAATGCCGAGGAAATGTCGATAACCAGACTTGAAGTCCAGAACCCACCCTAGTCTTGTTACAGGGAAAAACAAAATCTGACCCCATGTGGAATCTGTTTCTTTTACTTTAACCTTTGTTTCCCATTGCTTTTGTTCACTAATAGAATACTGCCCATACATAATGGACTTCCTCAGGGAACCCTACCCCCTGACTGAAAGTTAAACCAAAATGCCTTCATTCAGGAAGACATCCTGACCCTGTCCAACCGNAATGGCCTTTTGACTTTACTTCCTCACATCATCACCTCTCTGTTTTATAAAAGAACCTGGTGTCCAGACCCCATAAGATGGTTATTTTGAGACATTAATCTGCCATCTTCTTGGTCTGCCAGCTTTCCGAATAAAGTTATATTCCTGACTCACCACTTCATCTCCAATTTATTGGCATGACTGAACTTGGGGTAACCATCTGAGGTCAGGCCCAGGCACCAGTATTTTTCTTAACTCCCTAAGTGATTCTCAAGTACACAGGTTTGAGAACCATTGTTCTACCTTGCTAGCTTCTGCTCCTTTTTACCTTCCACTTCTTCCCAGGCTTTCTTCCACACTTAGCTACCTAGACCACCATATTTACCCACTTCTTTTCATCATTCTAAGACCTCTTGACCTTCATTTTGCTGCCTCTTGCTATGGTACTCTCTTGCTCTTCTCCAGACTTGATATAAACCTGGCAAGACCTTCTGATCAATTTTTTTTTCCCAGGTCCTGTCTTCTCCTGGCTATTCCCAATAGAACATCCACCAAGGTTACAAAAGTACCTTAGCAGGAGTCCAACTACCCACACACCATTTTCCTCCTTCATTTAAGCCCATTCAAATCTGACAATCTACATCATCTTTTGCTCTTGAAACTCAGCAACATTCAATGCCTTGCTCTACATTTGGACCAAACACCTTACCTTAGCCATTTCTTTGTCCATCTATCCATTCTCTTTTCCATCACAGGACTTCTCAGCTTCAAAACTATCACATGTAAGGTTAAATCATTCTTTGTTGTGGGAGGCTGTCCTGTATATTAATAGAATGATTAGCAGCATCTCTGGTCCCTGCTCAGTAGATGTCAGGAACCATCTTCCTCCAAATTGTAAAACAAAAATGTCTCCAGACATTACCAAATGATCCCTGGGGAGAGGGAAGAACTGCCCCTCCATCCTGACAGCCCATTGAAAACCACTGCTCTGTATGTCTAAAACTACTTCAGTTCGTTCCTCTGCCATCTGGTGTATATTTCCTTCCCAGTTTCAATTTCACCCAAGTTTACAATCCATTACTCTGAAGCATCTACTTCCTCCTGAGTTGGCAGCCTTCAACTTTGATTCAACTTCACAAATGATGCCAACCCCAAAGCAGCTAAGACAGATCCTCACATCTGTTAGTCATCCTTAACCCTCCCGTTGCAGAGGAGCAACGATAATTTCTCCATTAAATACTTTTGTTCCACAAAGACTGGTCTTATGCTATAAGCCCTGTGAAAACCAAATTAATTTATATAACTGTCGGAGTATTAAGAGGCAGAACATAGATCAGACCCTCTCTTAAAATTACAGATGCTAAGCTGGTTCCTGACTCCAAACACACGTACCTTCCTGAGCAATTATTCATTTCTCCCTTTAAATAGGAATCATATGTTCCTGCAAAGCCCTTTGAAATCTCAAATTGAGTGGAATTTCATTTCATTTTGAGTAACAATTCTTAATTATTTGAGCTAATGAAAAGGGATAAAGCACAAAAAATAGAAAATTCACATAACACAAATTTAAGCACATACTAACACAAACACATATTCTCAAATTTTCAGAAATTAAAAGGTTACTAAAAGTTATTAGACTGATTTTATTGTGTGACTCATAACTCATCCAAGTGAAGAATTGCTAATATGTTTGAGAATAATATCATTGGCAAAACACAGCCAAAGTAATGACTTTCCATAGTTCTTCATCATAATTGGAGATAATTTTAATGTCAAATTTTTCGTAAAGCTAAAGAACAACTTTTATTTGCTTTATAATTATCTATATTTTTTACCTTTATTAAGCCCATATTATGTTACTATGATAAGCTATACCTAATGCAAAATTTACCATTTTAAGCATTTTTAAATGGACAAGTCTGTGGCATTACGTGCATTCACATTATTGTGCAGCCATAACCACCATTCAATTCCAAAACTGTTTCATTTACATAGGGCCTACATGGGGGCACATTGTTAAAATGGCTCATTATGTTGACCTTGCAAACAAAGAATAAAATCACAGTGACCCTTGAGACTGACCAAATTGCCAAATAACATTCTGTTTTCCCACTGGCACCTACCTTCTCAAGGCTACAAGACCACCTGATTTCAGACTTCTGGCTACGTGACCACAGACCTCAGCTACAGGCTAAAAATTAACCATCCCTTCAGAGAATTTTTCATTGGCAAGGGTATAAGAAAGACCCCATCAGAAAGGGAGGACACTGGTTCTCCTTAAGGGCCAGTCACCCTCTCATTTCCCTCTAATAAATTTCCTTTTTTATACCTGACTGCTGACTCGCTTTCTTTTTCTCCACACTCACCTTACAGTCTTCTCCAATGACAACAGGTATTACTAGATACTGCCCCTCCTATGCCTACTAATAATCTGCTAAATGTCATTTTAAATTAATTTCCTGTAGCTCTTACTGAAATAAATGTAAAGTCTTACTAAAATAATTATTTTCAAGGACAGCATTTATATAGGTTTACTAATTCAACTTTCTTAAACAAAAGGAGAATTTTTGTCTTTTCATAATCATGCTTCATACATTCCCACTACTCAATGCCTGACTTATCCTGACCTTCTTCCATCTCCCTGTCAACAGCCTAGGGGAACTTAACATGTACAAGCCCCAAAGGCTCTTTTCTCCTGTTAGATCCAGAAACTAAGATAAAAGCAGTGATTTTCCTCACTTATCCTCAAATTGCACTAGAATTAAATTATATGATGATAATAGCATGAAGTTTTTTGAGAATTCTCTTAAGACTCTGGGAGAAGATTATGCATTATAGGGGAGAAATATAACAGCAATATAATGAAGTTTTGGTTTGGCCTGCTATAACAAAAATACCATAGACCACCTAGCTGAAACAGCAAACATTTCCTTCTCACAGTTTTGGAGACTGGGACATCCAAGATGGAGGAACTGGCAGATCTGGTGTCTGATGAAGGACTGCTTTCTGGTTTATAGACACACATCTTCTCATTGACTTTACATGGTGGGAGAAATGAGGGGTCTCTCTGGGGTCTCTTCTATAAGGGCACTAACTCCATGCATCAGGGTTCCACCCTCATGACCTAATCACCTCCCAAAGTCCCCACCCTGAAATTCCATCACAGTGGGGATTAGGATTCCAGCATATGAATTTTGGGAGGACATAAACATTCAGCCCATAGCACTGTTGCTATTTCTTGCTCATATTTTAAAAGAAAGCCTCTCAGATTCCTGGATAAAACATTGACCTTACAGCTGTGTTTCTAACATAAACTGAGGGGGAGAATTTATACATTTGAATACACGTGGTTCTGAGCTGAAGAAAAAAAAAACATATCTGCTATTGTAAGGTCAGAGCATCATTGTACAGATCATTTATTTTTTAAAAGTCCTTAAAGCTGTCATTTTAAAAACTCACAACTCTCACCAGCTGAATATTTGGGACAGTACACTCTAGCATGTCAGCGAAGTCAAATTTCTTTTGTACAACTCTTAAGAGGCACCTCTTGAAACTTTCCAGTTAAGATTTTCAAAACTCTGTAACAAATAACAGCCCCAGAGGAAAGCCTATAATATAGCTGTCAGTGAACTTAACTTCCATCATAAAATGGAAATATTGTCAAGTGTTTTGGGCTTTGGAGCAGCTGCCACCTAACAACTATTCAGAAAAAAATACCCAAATCAATTTAGGTCTCATCATAATTCCTGTGACTTTCAAGTCAAAGAGGATAGTCATTTTTATGTATTTATTTGTGAAAACTACAATTACAAATTTCTCAAAAAATATATACATATGTATACAGAGGGAAAAGTGATTCTTGGTAGTGTTACCAAAAAGGTAAAAGCCAATTTTAAGTTAGTTCGTTTTTTCCTTAATACATAAAAGAATGAATTAACATAAGCACTCATTCATTTATTCAACACACTTTTACTGATGATCTATTACATGCTAAGCAATATGGAGCCCTTAAACAAAACTAAAGAAATAAATGCTTTTTCCCCTCCTACAAATGGGCAAATAGATGTCAAAGGTGAGTGAATATTAAGATTACACCATAAAGAAAAGCAAACAACCCAAGTCACCGGGAAATCTAAACTCTTAGTTTCATTTCCTTCACATTCCTCTCACCCTAACTGGTGACTTTCATTGTTTTCCAAAGAAGAAAGATAAAGGCTGAACAAGAAGATATTTGTACTGCCCTTTCCATCAACATACAGAAATGAGGGCTTGATATCACTTCAGATTCTTTTTCACCCACCCAGAAAGTAATGGAGAAAGATAATGAATTAATGAGGAATAATTTGTAAATAACTTGGGAAATTGTTGCCAGTGACTATAACAAAAGAGAGGCCCCAAATTTTTAAAAATGCCATTGCAGGCTTCATCTTTTCCACTCTGAAAAACTCAGGAAGGGCAGCACATGTATCATTCTTAGTAGATATTCAGTGTACTTTTTTAATTGTGAGGGGATGGGATGGAGAGGGAGGTGGGTGGGGAGACCAGGATGGGGAACACATGAAAATCCATGGCTGATTCATGTCAATGTATGGCAAAACCACTACAATATTGTAAAGTAATTAGCCTCCAGCTAATAAAAATAAATGGAAAAAGAATAAAAATAAATAAATAAATAAACAATTGCGAGGGGAGGTACTATTCATAAAAGTCCAAAAATGCAAAGTGTATAATGCCCAACATGGCTAGGTTTTCTGTGCTTTTTGATTGTTCCAGAGGTAAAGTTTCTTTAACTGGCCAGTTCACCATTTTGCTCTCTGTTGTGGAAGATAAAGAAAGCAAACCTGAAAGGACGTGCCTGTTTCTCAGATATTTGAGGGGCTCAATGAGTGATTGTTGAAAGCTGAAAGATGAACTGCTGTTTCAGGGTTCTTGACGCATTAATGCAGGTAGGTACTTGATAAACTACCTACTAAATAAATAATTCATTAGGTTTCTCTCAAGACTTCCTAATACATCTCTTGAGGATGAGATCTAGAGATTAACAGAAGAGTTCCTCATTCAAACATAGTGTACCCACAGCAGGGAAAGGAGAGGATTGACAAATTCAGAGAGTAACATTGAAATATATACATTACCATATGTAAAATAGATAGCTAATGGGAATTTGCTATATAGCACAGAGAGCTCAACCTGTGACAACCTAGAGGGTGGGATGGGGTTGCAGGGTGGGAAGGAGCTTCAAAAGGGAGGGGACATATGTATACTGAGGGCTGATTTGTGTTGTCGCATGACAAAAACCAACACAATATTATAAAGCAATTATCCTCCAATTAAAAATAAATTCAAATGAAAAACCACACTGTTCTCAATATCATTGCAAACAAATCTCATGTAAAATTGCATGACCTAAATAAAGAAGTTGTGGTACATATATACAATGGAATATTACTCAGCCATAAAAAATGCATTTGAGACAGTTGTACTGAGGTAGATGTAAAGCCTGTTACACAGAGTGAAGTAAGTCAGAAAGAGAAAAACAAATACAATATATTAACACACTTTGGCCACCTGATGAGAAGAGCTGACTCACTTGAAAAGACCCTGATGCCAGGAAAGATTGAAGGAGGGAGGAGAAGGGGATGAGATGGTCGAATGGCATCACCGACTCAATGGACATGAGTTTGGGTAAACTCTGGGAGTTGGTGATGGACAGGGAGGCCTGGCATGCTGCGGTCCATGGGGTCGCAAAGAGGCGGACACACCTGACCGACTGAAATGAACGGATGGAATCTAGAAAAATGGTACTGATGAACCTATTGCAGGGCAGGAACAGAGACTCAGACATAGAGAACAGACTTATGGGGGCAGGAGATGATGGGAGGAAATTAGAGGGTAGCACTGAAATATATATACTACCATATGTAAAATAATAGATAATGGGAAGTTGTTGTATAACACAGGGAGCTCAACACAGCATGCTGTGACAAGCTAGAGGGGTGGGAAGCAGTAGGGGTAGAGAGGAAGTTCAAGAGGAAGGGACATATGTACACTTATGGCTGATTCACGTTGTATGGCAGAAGACAACACAATACTGTAAAGCAATTATCCTCCAACTAAAAACAATTCTTTTTTTAATTGCACAACCTGAAATGTTTAAAGGGAGAAGAAAGGTGATCAAAACCTTACCCCACAGGCAGACTCATGTGTTCTGCCTGTAACTCTCCTGGAATTCTCCAGGCCAGAATATTGGAGTAGGTAGCCTTTCCTTCTCCAATGCAACCCTTTGATTATTTCACATTTTACTTAAAATTCTTCATCCCTAAGAACTATAATGTTCAAATCTTTCAATATCATATATGAGGCTCTCATGGGCTTCCCAGGTGGTTCAGTGGTAAAGAATCTACCTGCTAATGCAGGAGACATAGGTTTGATCCCTGGGTCAGGAAGACCCCCTGGAGAAGGAAACAGCAATCTACTCCTGTATTCTTGCCTGGAAAATCCCATAGACTGGCCAGCTACAGTCCATGGGGTCACGAAAGAGTTGGACACGACTTAGTGACTAAACAAGAACACAAACATTGTCTCTCCAGCTGTTTTTTCATTTTGTTGACTGGTTGACTTTTTTGTTTTGGTTTGGTTTGGTGTTTTGGTTGTGAGATTGGAGAGGATTGGCTTTTCCCAATGAGTTTATGGTTCTTACTGTCTCTGAGTCTCTCCGCACTAAGTTGGCCTGTGCCTAGAAGGTATCTCCATTTCTTCTTTACCTTGAAGCCTCAGTTATGGCATCTCCTCCTCCAAACAAGCCTAGAGCTATATATCTATATATAGCTGTATATATAAGCCTAAAGCCTATAGAGCTAGATATCCCCCTTTCTCACTCCTATAATTACTCAGGCTATCCCAGCACTGCACTTCCAAGTTATGTCATTATTCATCAGCTCCCTTACTAATGTTCACCACTTACTTACTCGTGTGTCTCTGAGACGGGCACAACCCAGCACACAGTAGGTACTCAAGAGATTTTGAATGAATGAATGACTACTGAACGACTGCCCATAGAGAAATGTTGCAGAAGCCAAGTTAAGAGTTAATGACCAGAAGTAACCCTCTATGCCTCTTTTTGACTTAGCTCCAGAGAGCACTCTACCTGTAAATGGAAGGGGAGGTGCTTTTTGGCCTCAGAACAGCACTGACCTTGAAACTTACTTTGTGAGCAGAGCAAAGAGCTCAAGAGACTAACATCTCCCCTAACCTAGCCATCAAAACACCAGCCCAGCAGATACCAACAGTTCTCGACCCCATCACTACCACCACCATCACCAAGTTCTCATCAACAAAAGAAGGTGAACTCCTCCCTGGAATTCTACAACTTTAGGGTATCTTTAAAGTTTAGGAATTTGTCTTTTAAATTCACGTAAATTTACCATTTTTTCCATAAAATGGAATCAGTCTTTGTAAATTAGTTACCAGGTAAATTACTTAATTCCCTAATTCATATATCCACACCTCAATTAGTCCAACTAATGTTTCAGGAAGGTGCCCCATATTTATTTTATAGTTTCTCATCCTTTTCCAACTCCCCCAAGAGGTGCCTCATTAAGAAGTATGGGACACATTATGGTTCCTCTAACGTACTGTATTCTTTAAAACCAAGCATCAGCCATGATTAACGAAAAAAAAATTAGAATAAAAACTGAGGGAGGAGGACTTTCATAAATTGAAAACAACAAAGGTGTGTGTGTGGGGTTTGGTGTTTTTTTTTTTTTTTTTTTGCAAGGGAGGCTTGTCCTCAATGTGAAAGGTACATAAAACTTCACACTGTTATCTACCTAATGACTCTATAGTTATTTCACACTACCACCATCCTCATTCCCTTTAGAGTTTCCAATGAATCCTATTATTTCCACAGCCCTTAAAGAAGAAAAAAGCATCGCCAGGTGCTTTCTCTCTTGGCATCACTTCATACAAAAAAGACTCAGCTATATTTGCATATATGTAAAAATATATTCAATAGAGTACTTTTTGAAGTAGAAAGAAAAAGAAAAAACATGGAAACTTAAATGCCCATCAAAAAAAGACTGGTAAAATAAATGACAGCTCATCTAGACAATGGCATATCACTCAGAATATTATGAAGCCATCAAATAAGATGAGGTAAATCATTGCTACATGTACAAGCATGCATTGCAAGAGCTCCAGGGTAAGTGGTTAAAAGAAGAAAGCAAGGCAAGGAATGGACATAAATCCTACTGAACACAAAAGAGAGAGGAATTATTTATGTATTCATTCATTCCTATATTCATTCATTCATTCAATATATGGAATATTTCTATAAAGATTCACCAGTGATTACCCCCAGGAAAAACTAGGGATTGCTGAAGGGTGAACATCTACTTTTTATGATATACACTCTTATACTGCTTAAATTTTCACCCTGTATTTTTTGGAAACTAAAACAAAAGCTATCTAGAGGAAGTACAGGCAAAAGCAAAGAGGAAGGCCAAAGCCGGCCTTGCTACCCCGCCCAACGCACAGCTTCCTGAGTCACAGCCCAGCAACCCAGGGCTGGTGTGGCCAGCTCCAGCGTCTGTGGTTTCTCAACCCGGGAGGCACTGTATTTTCAATCAAGAGTGGGACATCAATGACCAGGGATGATTCAAGAAAGAGCCCTTTTATCCAAAATGCAGATCTATCTGTACATACAGATGGTTCACTTTGTTGCACAACAGAAAGGACTACAACATTGTAAAGCAATTATACTAAGATAATAAAATAAATGGGCTTCCCAGGTGGCTCAGAGGTAAAGAATCCACCTGCAATGAGGAAGACCTGGGTTTGATCCCTGGGTGGGGAAGGTCCCCTAGAGGGAGGGCATGGCAACCCACTCCTGTATTCTTGCCTGGAGAATCCCCATGGACAGAGGAGTCTGGCAGGCTACAGTCCATGGGGTCATATAGAGTCACACACAACTGATCGACTAAGCACAGCAAATAAAATTTAAAAAAAAATGTAGACCCTTTTCCCACATTCTTTAGATTTTTATCTTCATGCATTATACTTTTAATTAAGGCCTATCTCACAGCTTCTATTTCCTTTCCTTATAAACTTTAAGAGGTCATCTCTCCAAACCCATCCTCTGTTCAAAATAATTCACGTGTTGCCAAGACTGTGGTCAAAGAAAATGTTTGTGAAGGGCTTTACCTCCACACTGAGGACCAAACCACTTTGACACAGGGGTTCTTGACAAAAAAACTCTGGGGAAAGGCCCACTCTCTCCTAACCCAGCTGGCTAATTTCCAAGGAGGTGCCCTTCTGATGGCATTAACCTCAGAATAATTTAGGAAGCGTTACCAGTATTTAAGGGGCTGGTGACTCAGAGGTAAAGACTCCTCTTGCAAGATAGGAGACGCAAGGGACTCGGGTTCGATCCCTGGGTCGGAAAGATCCCCTGGAGGATGGGACAGCAACCCACTCCAGTATTCCTGGGCCTTCCCTGCTGGCTCAGAGGGTAAAGCATCTGCTTGCAATGAGTAAGACCGAGGCTTGATCCCTGGGTCGGGAAGATCCCCTGGAGAAGGGGACAGCAACCCACTCCAGTATTCCTGGGCCTTCCCTGGTGGCTCAGAGGGTAAAGCATCTGCTTGCAATGAGTAAGACCGAGGCTTGATCCCTGGGTCGGGAAGATCCCCTGGAGGATGGGACAGCAACCCACTCCAGTATTCCTGGGCCTTCCCTGCTGGCTCAGAGGGTAAAGCATCTGCTTGCAATGAGTAAGACCGAGGCTTGATCCCTGGGTCGGGAAGATCCCCTGGAGAAGGAAATGGCAACCCACTCCAGTACTCTTGCCTGGAGAATTTCATGAACACAACAGCCTGGCTACAGTTCATGGGGTCACAAAGAGTAGGCCACAACTGAGCCACTAACAGGAACTAACCAGTATTGTTGCCTGAAGAATCCCGTGGACAGAGGAGCTTGGCAGGCTGCAGTCCATAGGGTTGCAAAGAGTCAGACATGACCGAAGTGACTGAGCATGCACGCATCCACGTATGCATGTTCCCGTATTCAGAGTGCCCCTTAAATGAAATTAGACCAGTGTTTGAGCCAGTTCATACCCTGGAGCCCAGAGGAATAATTAAAGGAGTAGATGTTTTATTCTTTAGTGTTTAATAGAATACATAACAAGTCACATAATCAATGATTCATTACTTCACACACAGGGAGGAAAACAGTATCCAGTATTTCTGTAATACAACTGGTTGTGAACAGAGAGAACCAAAATTTATATAGAGTATTTAGATAGTGGAAGAAATTCTCACTTTAAGTTTGGGCATGTCTGAAAAGAACTTTGTCAGTTTTTAAAATATAGAAGGACTGTTCTTTCCTTGGCTTTCTGTTTTGTCAGAAAATCTGGTAATGGTACGATGATTTTTATCCCCCTTTCTCCTTCAATCACTGAGGAAATGGCTCAGTGATTCATATCACTGAGCATATAACATGTTCAACAATTTCCTAATCCCAGGTAATTCTGTGGGAATCTTACATTTTCTCCCAGATAAGAGTTTTTAAGATGCCCAGAAAAACTTAAATAACACATAATTTATAACTTCAAAATTAACATCCATAATGGATATTTTAACCTTTGTCATTAAATGTCACAAATGCTGTTTGAGTGATTATAAATGAATTGTCATTTGTATTAAACAGTAATAGCAAAATTTACCTGCCTATGAAGTCACAAAGACAGTTGTATAATAGTTTACATTACAATTATGTCCACATACCTCAACATATTTAATTTTTTTTAAAAACTTGGGGAAAAAAAATCACAAAATGACTAAGGTGACAAGAATTCTTGATCAACTAGTTCAGCTTCCTACCACACGAGATTATACTGTAATATAAATATTCTGGTTGACTTTCTTCCATCGAAGTTTCAATGGTCCCAGTAGAGAATATCAATCTTCAAACATTAATCCTTTTAGTTGTTTGTTGTCCAAAATTGTAACAAAGAAAAGTTAACTTCAACATAGCATGTTTCTGGCTTTAGGAAGGTTTATTTTAGGTACTATAGCCACTGGAAACAGAAGAATATTTTATTTCTCAAGAGAGAGATTTAGGTCATCTAAGAAAACTAATTCAGTTTTTAAATGAGTTATAATAAGGAAAAACAGGAAAAAAAATCCAAAGAATTTACTCTGGTAGGTTTAGAATAAAAACATTCAGTTTACAATAAAAAATTTAAGTCAACTGAGTAAAGTACTTATGATTTAGATTATAAAAGAAATTCTTAGGGAATTCAACCCCAGTCAATACTTTTCTAAATACCTGCATTATCATTTAGCATTTTTCATGTGGAGTACAAAACTGTTTTTTGAGTATTAGATTAGAATTTACCATAATCTGAAAAGTAAAAAATTATCAAAGCTTCAACTTACATGGCTTTAATGTAGTAACATTACAAGGAAAAAATCTAATAAAAATGGAAATGTGTCATGAGCACTGCCAGTTGCCCATTTTGTTTGAGAATTCAGATTATGCATTTCCCCAAAGAAGCAACAGGTTATATTATTTATACGGATCTGGTTTGAAAGAGAAGACAATTTGGGCTAGTATTAATACAAATTACTTTGCTATCAACACCAAAACCAAATAAAACACAAGAATCGTACTGAAAGGGAAAAAAATTTAAGTTTCACACATTCAAGGGGTATTTTCCAAAACACATATGAAAAATTAAAATGAACATGGATCACAGTTCTACATGTATTAAAAAACAGACAATTTGTCATACACTTGGTGCAAGAGCATTGGACATGGTACCTGTTTTTCTAACCACCACTGTCAACTATTCTTTTTCAAAAAGTTAAATTTGTTATTAAAATCTCAGTAGTATTTATGGACCAAATGGTAATTGAGCCATTACGTATGTAAATACATATTGCACTGAGTCAGATGAATGCAGTCATAAGTTCTGAATAATTTATGACACCCTTCCAAGTTACTGATTACTCACAGGTACCCTCAGAATCTCATCCAACCTACAGATGACAATCAACACTCCAGCCCGCAATGTAGACCACTAAGGGTCCTTCCATGGCTCAAAGCACATGGTGAATAAAAGACCCAAAAGGGCAGTGGCCAAGTCATCTTACCTCAGTTACAGTGTCCACCCAAGGGAAACATGAGTTTCCTACCCAGCCTTTACTTTGGGTTGAAGATAGAATTTTTCACGTAACAACTTCCAACTTTAGAGAGGACAGTCATCATATGAAAAGAGGTCAGTTTACTGTCTCTAACGGTTCAATTCCCAGTTTTTCAGCTAATGGAAGAAGTAGGGGAGACCTGCAGGCCATCAGGGATGTCTGGAAGGGGTAAAATTTTGCCAAGCAGTGGAACAGTCAACTCAAAGTTTTACAAGATTAAACTTTTTAGACTTGAATAGCAGAGACAAAACTTGAGCAGCTTCCCGTGACTCCTGGAGTTGAGCAGATTTAACAAGGGAAATCAGAAGCTCAGAGTCTTGCCATATGTCAGTGGCTTTGATCTGTCCCCAAGATGCTTTCTGTTGCACAATACAGAAGACCACATGGGGTACAGAAATCTCTGGGATACTCACTTTTGGCCAGCAGGTGACATTCCTAAATCATTTCAGGTTTGAAACAGGGGTATGTTCCAATGTGTTACCTAGTCTGAGAACATGCTCAACACCAGCAAATACGACTTCCTGAATTTCTGTTTCTGCTTCCTTTAAAATTACAGTCTTTGTATATAAAGCTAACTTTACTTTTCTAAAAATGAACCTCCAGTGAAAACACCTCAAGTCCTTCTCTCCCTCAATAAAAAAAGAAAAGAATTAGTGGATTAAAAATACAGGTACCTTGGTTTACAAAGATAGTTAATCAACATATTAGAATACAACTAATAGCCAAGCAAAAAGAATGGAGCAAATGAAGCTTTATAACTATGCCTTTTTTCCTAACCTAATTTCCCCATAGACAAAGATATAAGAAACTCATCAAAGCATGTTGCTTTAGTATATACACCATATGATGCAAGTTACTGGGGTAAATACAGGAAAGTTTATAGCATTTAGTAAATGAATTAAAAAACTAAATGATTCGTGTAAAATGTTTATATATGATATGTACAGAATGGATCACATGAGACTAAGAATAAAACTGTTTCAATTCTTAACATCTGTTATGGACATATAGGAAGATAGAGTACAAGATTCATTTTTAAAAAGAAGAAAAAAATAGCGCTAATTTCAACACTGAAAAGACTCTTACAAAATCTTTTAAAAACATACTTCAGAGAATGATGCTGAAACAAATGAAAAAGGAAAGGCTTCTCCTTAATCACAGAATATCCAAAGGAGCCTCACAGCATGAAAGACAAGGATTCATTTCCCTTCACTTACAGTGTAGATAGGATTTACAGTGGGGATTTATTCCATGGTAGAGTAAAGGTATAAGGCAACCAGGTCTCCTGCTCCAGCTGCATTTACCTGGGACACCATTTTATTGCTCAGCTCACTTTGAAGTACTTATTTACCTTCATTTAAAAATATTCCCACTTTCCAGTTATCTACAGATGGCAGCCCTCAGCATTTCTACTTCTCTGCAGCTCTGTCATTTGGAAAGACTCACCTTCACTTCAAACCACCTGCATCAAAAGGGCATGTTCAGTTTTGCCCACAAGTCAACATTGGCTGGGCTTGGAGAAAATAAGGATTTTTTAGTAAGAAAACTAAATCCAAGTAACTCAAACATATTTTCCTCAAGGTAATAGATTTTAAAATCAGGACTTATAATCAACAACAAAAAAAAAATAAAAGTTCAAAAACTAAAACCCTACTGGGTAACTCTTTGGTTAGGTTATATAAGTATCAGCAACTTCTAAGTTTAGGACTCGAAACAGTTAGTTCAATCAACTGCCAGGTAAGAGGAGGAGATCTGTGATTGATCTTTATAAAACGCTCTGTTTGTTTCTTGTGTACTACTTTGTTAATGTGCATGTACTCAGACGGATGGTACAAACTTCCAACTGTCAAACAATAAATGAGTGTATCTGCTCCCCCCTTTCCCACCCCTCTTAACTTCCTTCCTCCCTCCCCACCCTACCCCCTAAGTCTTAAGAGCTAAGGTACTACCGCGCCATTCACTGCAAGAATACGGGCTTTCCTAACAGCCACGACGTGCGTTTCCACCCAGTTGCGTTGGCAGTCACAGCAGTGCTTGGTGACCTGGGCTGTCCTGCTCTCTTTCCCCTTCTTGCCAATACAGGCTGCCATGTCAAGCGGTCGAAAACCAAGGGCTTCGGGCGCTGAGTCCAGGAGAAAGGGTGCCTCCTCAGGCAGGAGGGGAACTTCCTGCAAGTTTAAGCCACAGGCGGAGATCTTTAAATCGGCAGGGAAACCAGAGGCTCCTCCATAGAGCCAGCACGAGATTCTTCTCCTACTTCTACCTGTAACCGTTCAGAACTTTCTTCACGTGGAGTCACTGAACTGCCTCCGCACTGAACTCATTCCCGCTCCGGAGTCCTCCGTTCAGCCTTCTAAAACTCTACCTTTAAAGAAGGTCAAAAGACTGCGTAATGAATGACCTTTCGAAACTAAACTATTCCCAGAGTGCTACCAAGTCTCTTAAACCGCGAGTGAGTCATCAGGGCTTTGAGAAGATTTCAAGGAATCTTCTATACAAGTGGACAGGGTCCAATCAGGGTCGGGACAATTCAGTCATTCCCGGCTACTCGGTGACTTTGTGGCCAAACTGCCCCACCCCCCACTGGATCCAGCCCGAAGGACAATTCGGGGGGAGGGCTGGTTTGGGGCCGGAGGCAGAGGAAACATGGGGTGGGGGGGTACGCCTGGGCTCTTTCAGCGGGGTCCGGAGAAGACAAGAAGCCGAGAGGCTCTGCCGCTCTAGCCTGTAAAGTGAGGGGGCAGTGGGTCTACGGGAGGTGGGGAACAGGGGAACGCGAGAACGTGGTGGGTCGGAGGGGAAATCTAGAGTCCCCTCCAGGGCAAAAAGGACAGGAGGGAACGGGCGCGCTGGAGTCGCCAGGGGAGCGGGGAGCTCACTCCCTGCAGAAGACGTACTCGGTGTAGCTAGTCCAGATCTTGTCCTCGCTCTGGTCAGTGCTGCCGGCGAAGGCGCAGGTGCCCGTGGAACTGCACGCCACCATGTGGAAGCCCGACTCGGACAGCTTGTCGAAGGCCTGCTCCAGGAAGTTGAACTTGAGGTAATAGCGCGAGGTGTAGCGCTCTGGGGGCCGGTCGGGGTCCCGGCTCTCGTTCAGGGTGTCCCCGAACACCTCCTTGGCCAGCGACGTCTTGCCGCACACCGTGATGCGCGCCACTCGCCGGAATTTGGCGTCTGCCTGCGCGTCCCGCCCGATCGTGTAGGAGCCGCGGTAGCCGATGGTGATGTAGCCCGAGCGTCGGCTGCCGTCCAACGACTGCGACGGCGTAAGCAGCGGGCCCGCCGCGCCCCCGGACGGGCTGCGGCTAGCCAGCTCCAGCGTGGGCGACGGCGCCCCAGCCGAGGCGCCCTCCTGCTGCTCCGGCTCGGCGGAGCCGAGCGGCAGCAGATCGTCGCCCAGCGAGCCCTCCTTCTGCACCCCGCGCCGGGAGTGCGGCGGCGGCGGCCCGGGGCCGGGCTGCTGGGGCGCCCCGAGGCGGCGCACGAGCTCGGGCAGCTCGAAGTACTCGGCCTCGCGCTGCAGCCGGCTGCGCTCGGGGAAGTAGTCGGGCAGCACGAGCTGCAAGTCCCGCAGGTAATCCAAGATGTAGCGGAAGAGGAAGCCGTCGCGGTCCAGAAAGAAGCGGCCTTTGCTGTCCCGGGCTAGCTCTTGCGGCTGCTGCTGCGTGAACATGCGCCAGAGCAGCGAGTCGGGCACCGACACCACGGTGCAGCGCCGGGTCACATACACCTGGCCGCCCACGTTCAGCTCCACGATGTCGGGGAAGAGCGGCGGCTCCGCCGAGGACGACGAGGAGCCGCTGCCGCCGCCGCCGCCACCCCCGTTGGGTAATCCACGAGTGCTGTCGGCCAGAGCCATGGCCAAGAGGTGGCCGGGGCCGCCGCCGCCGCCTTTCCCGGACGCTCGCTCAGCCCTGCACCCTGGCTGCAGCCGAGAGTCGCGCGGAGCCGAGCGCACGAGGCGAGCGCGCCGCTGTGCGCCCCCGCGAACCCCGCTGCGCTCCGCCCGCCTCGCCCGCGCGCTCCAGGGGAGTGCCGGGTGGAAGCCGGCGCGCCGCTTAAGTAGAGCCGCCCGCCGGGGCGCCGCGGCGCGCAGGAGGCGGGGGCGGCTGCGGAGCGGCGGAGCCTCGCTCCCCGGGCGGGAGGGGGAGGTGGAGCGGGGAATCGATTTGCATCTTAAACGCTGACGCCGCGGCCGGCGGCTGACTCCACCCGGGCTCGCGCGCAGCCCGGGGCCCCCGACTTCCCTACAGCCCCATCGCCCCGCACTCTAGCGCCTTCCCGCTCCCGCCCAACTTTCTTTCTCTTCCAAAGTGGAAGGTCCTGGGCCCGGCCCCTAGGGAAGACGAGCCTTCTTTGCAGGGGCAGTCCGGTGCGCCCGCTCCTCTCCTAACTGCACCCGGGGACTGTGGAAGAAACACGTAAACTTTCCAGTTCCCCCAACCCGGGGAGTGGAAGTGCCTGGCCACCCCTCTCCCCCAGAAACTAGCCGCTTGAAACACTGGAACCGTGGCGCTGTAAACACACCGGTTGTCGCGTTGCTGAAAGTTATAGAGAGAAACCAAAAAACCTGGAGAGGTGGTGGGGCCGCCCCCGGCCCAGAGGCAGCTAGATTTTGTTCGCGTGTACGAGTAACCTCGAAAAAAAAATCCTGGAAACAAGAAGCTAACCTCGGTATCCTGCTCTCCTGTAATTTGTTTTCTGGGCCAAAAGGCAAAATCTTAAGAGACCTCAGAACTGGAGGAAATGGGCTGAAATGGCAAAGAGGGGGACTTCGGGGCACGTTCCCTTCTGGGTGGCCGTCGCGGTCTCCTCCCCGCTTGCCCTCCCCTTCGAGGCCAGGTTGAAGAGGTGTACAAGGTGAGGCCTAAGAGAAAGCCCCGTCTCCGGGGCCCTCTCAGCACTGGGTGAATGGCTGTATGCAGTCGGAGCTTTTGAAGATCTAAGGAAATTTAGAAAACCTACCTTTCAAACCCTGCGTCTTTATTCTCGCAAATGTCCTTGCGCCCCTGCTCTCCGTCGAGCCTGGGTCATTCCCTTCAGCCCTTTCCGAGTTCCCTCTAGTCTCAAGGCCCTTGTGCATTTGAAGGCCTTCTCTGGACCTCATTTGGTCTTGTAACTCCTGCCCCCTTCACAATGCAGCACACAGTCTCCTCCTCCGGGAAGCCTTCCCTGACTTCTCAGGCGAGTGGGCCTCGGGTGTCTCCTTCCATGTACCCTAAGGCCAAACACAATAGGAAATTTCGCATTTCTGAGTGATTATCAGATTTCCGACTTTGGCAGATAAAGTACTCCTGAGCACTCCAGAAAGAGGACAGAAGAGAGGCTAGTGAAGGAGGTGTTCTTTTTGTTGTTCAGTGGCTAGGTGATGTCAGGTTCTTTGGGACGTCATGGACTGAAGCAACGCCAGGCTCCTCTGTCGTTCACTATTTCCCAGAGTTTGCTCAAACGTATGTCCATTGTGTTGTAATGCTATCTAACCATCTCATCCTCTGCCATCCCCTTCTTCTCCTGCCTTCAGTCTTTCCCAGCATCAGGGTCTATTCCAATGAGCCGGCTCTGCATCAGATGGCCAAAGGATGAGAGCTTCAACTTCAGCATCAGTCCTTCCCGTGAATATTCAGGGTTGATTTCTTTTAGGATTGATTGGTTGGATCTCCTTGCAGTCCAAGGGACTCTCAAGAGTCTTCTCCAACACCACAGTTTGAAAGCGTCAGTTCTTCAGCACTCAGCCTTCTTTATGGTCCAGCTCTCACATCCATACATGACTACTGGAAAAACCATAGCTTTGACTATATAGACCTTTGTTGGCAAATCATGAAGTCAGTGGATATTTGTTGTGCACCAGCTGTTTGGCCACACCAGGTAGAAGAATGCAAGGTTGAATACGCTCCAAAGAGCTTTCAGTGTAGCTGGGTAGGCCACAGTTAGAAGTCTGAGCAGTTTATCAGATCAGTGTAAAGCACAGACTGTCAATCAGTATAAATCAGGCAAGATCTTTGTTCTTGATTATAATGTTTCCCTTTTGTGTAACTACCCAATGAGCTTTACAGTCTCCTCACGGATAAGTGTCATTTTTACTTTGAAATGTTTATGTCTGCTGAACAATTATCTCATTCATGTCAGTGTGCTGAAATAAGATCAAGCCCCAAATCAGGGCACTTAATTGCAAGGACAGATTCTGATACTGAATATATTTGACCACTCTCTTTTTGTTTGTTCTTGGGTATAAATAATAGCTGACACAGAAGTTCCAAGTAAGTTCCAATGCTGATTTTCTAGGCGGCTGTGCTCTTTGTTAAAACAGTGTCAAAGCCCTAAAGAAACCAGTCTCTTTTTCCTAAATCCAAGAAAAGCCTTCTTTGTATCAATTCTGTACATATTTTTGTATCATTTCTTTGTTCCTCTTCCTATCAGCAAATCCTGTCAGTTCTGCCCTCAGAATTCTTCCAGGCTATTAGTGTTTCACCACCTCCCAGCCACCACCTGGGACCAAGTCGCCCACTGGACTCCTGACTGCCTCCACCTCTGCCTCCTACAGTCTTTTATCACCAGAACCAAAAGAGGGATCCTATTTTAACTAAGTCAGGTCATGTCATCGTCCAGAGCCCCTCACTGGCTTTTCATCGCACCAAAGAGTAAGAACCAAAGTCCTTTTATTGCTTACAATACTCCACTAGATCAAAGCTGCCCCACTAGGCCCTCTCAGACCAGCATGCGTGCTAAGCTTCAGTCGTGTCCAACTCTTTGTGACCCCTCCAGGCTCCTCCATCCATGGGATTCTCCAGGCGAGAATACTGGAGTGGGTTGCCATGCCCTCCTCCAGGGCTCTTTAGACCCAGGAATATAAGCTGGGTCTCTTATGTCTCCTGCTTTGGCAGCTGGGATCTTTACCTCTAGCACCACCTGGGCAACCCTCTCAGGGCCCTTGCCACTTTTCCATGAACGCTTGCTTTAACCTGGTGGCTGAGATGGTAAAGAATCTGCCTGCAAAGCAGGAGACCCAGGTTGAAGTAGGAAATGGTAACTCACTCCAGTATTCTTGCCTGGAAAATTCCATGGACCGAGGAGGCTGGTGGGCTGCAGTCCATGGGGTCGCAAAGAGTTGGACACCACTGAAGCAACTTAGCACATACAAGCAGCTACACTTTTTCTTGCTTGCTTTAACCAGGTTACCCTCTGCTCCCCCTACTGTTGGCTCAGGACCTTTGCACTTCCTGCTCTTTTTCCCTTCTTATCTTCCTCATCTTATTCAGGTGTCTCCCTTCTCATCTTCTGCAGGTCTCTGCAGCAAGACCTTCCTTTGATCACCCCACTAAAGCGGCACAACCCCACCCAGGCAGAATCATTTACCCTGCTTTATTTGTTTGCCATTTGTTTCCCTACATTAGAATATAAAGTCCAAGAGATTAAAAACTGGGATTTGCTTGATTCAGCACTACATCCCCAGTGCCTGGAACAGAACTGGCATGTAATAGACATGGGATAACTAAGTCTTTCTCACTTGTTTATACCACCAATGTTTATTAAAGGTCTGCTACTATGTTCAAGACAACATGTCTAAAAAAATAATCTCTGCTGTCTGGGAGCTTACAGACCTGTGAGGGAGACATAAGTAAATAGATGACTGTATATACTTTAGGTAGCAATAAATGCCATGAAAAAAAATTAAAATGTGAAATGAGATAGAGGGACTGGTTGGTGAAATAAGTTCTGGGATACTACAGTACATAGTATGTATAGGAGAATATACATATGTATATGTGAAGAGCCAACTCATTGGAAAAGACCCTGATGCTGGGAAAGGTTGAGGGAAGGAGGAGAAGGGGGCAACAAAGGATGAGACAGTTGGATGACATGACCGGCTCCATGGACATGAGTTTGAGCAAACTCTGGAGATAGTGAAGGACAGGGAAGACAGGCGTGCTGCGGTCCATGTGGTCACAAAGAGTGGGACATGACTGACTGACTGGACACCACTGCTGTATACAGACTGGCTGGGAGCCTCTCCAGGAGAGTGGCATTTGAGCTGAATAATAAGAGAGACAGCCGTGGGAAGTTCTGAGGGAAGGGCATTCCAGGCAGAGGGCAGAGCAAGGGAAAGGAGTCTGGGTTAGGAATGAGATTGGTATGTTTCACAGTGGAAGCTTGTCTGCTGTATCATCTTCATGTATCTTGTGATTGCCAGAGTACTCTTGAAGAGACAGGACAGGCTCACATGTGAGCAATACTATATGTGCCCAGACATCTTCGTTCTCCGTCACTTCACACATTCGTCTGCCAGAGACTGGCCCACTGCACGAAGTCATTGGGATTTCCTTGCAGAAGTCTCAGTTGTGCATGAGAGGAATAATAATGAATGAAATGGGTGATGCCAGACTGAAGGAATAATTTTCTGGTTAATTTTGTAATGGTCTGTTTCCTGCCTACTGGTTGGTGTCATGAAATTCAAGAGGAAATAAAATAGGGAACTTTAATGCTGGGACTTAATGGGCTGGGTGTTTACAGAGGAGGGGAGGGCCATAACTCTTTAGGCTCTTCGGTAGATTAAATATGCTTAATTATCAGAGGGTTAGGGAAGTTCAGATGGTAGAGAATCTGCCTGCAGTACAGGAGACCTGGGTTCAATCCCTGGGTTGGGAAGATCCCCTGGAGAAGGGAATGACCACCCATTTCAGTATTCATGCCTGGAGAATTCCATGGACAGAGGAGCCTGATGGGCTACAGTCCATGGGGTTGCAAAGAGTCAGACACGATTGAGCGACTAACACTTTCGCTTTTCAAGGGTAGATTTGGGAAGCCACTAGCTCTGCAGCTCGTCTCAATCCAGTTTCTAGTGATGGATGCATTGATGGTGAT